AATATGGTGCAGCATTCATACAATCACGAGCATGTTTGATACATTTGGTGCCTCGAGAAGGAAATCTCGTCAAGTGCGTTACGTGAAGTATGGTGTATGGCCTGCCTGCTCGATCGCAAGCCTAAAAACCAGGTATGTTATGTACTAATAGGTGTGTCATTATAATTATATATAGGTAGTTTTATTTACTTATTTATTCCCCTGTTTATTTATGTAATAATCACATATATGTTATATTTCTTATATGAATCAACACAAATTAAACCAAGCTCTTAATAATTTCATTTCTTGATAACTTTAGCACTAAATTACGTAGCTCTGCATACGCAGAACTGCTTGCATGTCATTCTATAATTGTTTTTAACTTTCGTGCCACAAAAGCTGTGCCACACCACACCACACATGATGCAGGCATGTTTTGTACGCACTCGCAAGCACCGCATCGTATGCGCATGTCGCTTGGTCAGAAAGTATTCGAACCAGGATATCGCGTAATATCAACGCGAAACATGGAACTTTTTCCGGCTGAGCTAACTTGTGGGTTTAATGAAATTTATTGTTACACTTTAATTTGTAAATTTTCTTTAGAGGATTGTTTCAAGTTGTTTAATGCGTGAAAATATTAATGACTGAATCATAATATATCAAAATGATATAACTAAATGACTCATAAAAGTCATTAAACTACTGATAACAAAATTAAATCAAAAATTCTTCATTACAATGTCATTTGATGTGATTAAAATTGATCCAGTGGTTTAATACATATATACTTACATACATATGCACGTATAGCACAATCGATAAGTTTTTATACCTGGCAATATATAGTTATGGTATTTTTAGGGCTTCTTCCTATTTTAAATCGTCATATGAGCTAACGTAAAAGCAACTCGCTCAGTGCTTCATTTTTGTTTATATTAGAGCATATTTCCCGGTAAAGCATTGTAAGCGATGGATAAAATGTCAATTTTATTTTCTTTACGACCGGCACTCTGTACGCACGTATTTCTTTGCTTGAATAAATTGTAAATTTATGCCTGTGTATATTTTTGAATGTAGAGCTTGCCGATGTGAAGACTTCTTTGGTACACAGCCGAGCTTGATGTTTCTCCTAATTCGCTCCTCTGTGTTACTGGTGCGCTCACATGTTTGATACACGTTCCTTGGTGGAAAAATTCGTGAGAAACTATTTGGTTATATTGAAGTCACTTTTATAAAAAGATTTAAGTAATTGGTATTATTGTGTTTGCTCTGAAACTAATTATAATTTATAATTGAATTTACTCTCACTCTATTTTACTCTTTCTCTCTTTATCTCACGATATACTTTCGTTTAACTTTCTATCTTTATTTCTTTCTTTTCCATTGTTTCCCTTCTTTTACTCCGTCATTTCCTATCCACCACAATTTTTCCTCTATTCTTTCCATGCCTGGTTGTCGGTCATAATGCCAGCATAATATGTCGATATATATGGTCGTTGAAGCACTCAGCAATACAGTTACAATGGACGTATGAACGCATATTTGCGGGCATAAATTTCAAGAAATGAAACGTCATTGACCTTTCAATGAACGAATAATCTGCGTTGTGTGTTTGATAATAACTAAATAAACAAAATGCAAGTTAGTTTCACTACTTATTTCAAAAAATGTACTGTTAACTTTTCATGTTTTGGTATACAACAAACGTCATTAAATTTTGTGAGTTGTCAGCCAATGTTTTTGTATTTGTTTGGTTTGTATATCAACATTTCGAATTTAGGCTAGTTTTGGATATAACTCAACCTACAACCCGTTATTCCCTTATTACTTTTGATGAAAGTTTTAGTACATATATTCAATTCAATAAATTACTTTATTTAAAATCAATCATCCTCATTTCGATTTTGCGTGTGCGTGCGTCTGTGTGCGCGACTGTGTGCGCGTCTGTGTCTATGCGTGTGTGAGTATACGCTGCCAGCACTCTTCTATCCATCTGTCAATGCAATTCAATCCTCTTCATCACTCCATTTATTCGTTCAGTCATTCAATTTACTCCACCGAGCATAAACGGCGCGTAAAAACATCAAAGCGGGAAGTACGCATGCATGCAGTTATTTAGCTGTAATTCATTACCTTCATTCATCTTACCTCACTCTTCTTCTTCGTTAGTACGGTGTAAATTACGTCTGCTTCTTGGGCAGTTGTACAAACGAATAATGTAGCGTAATATTATTTTTGAATGAAACAGCAAAAAAATAAAATTCTTTCTGTGTTTATTTAAGAAGGAATATCGACATTTGCGAATCAGAGCGTTTAACCATTTGCACGCATTTTCTCATAAGTAAATGAAATTTCATTTTATTACAAAATTCCCAAAAAAATGGTTTTCCTAGTCTTCTTCTTCGTCATTATTTCCAATTCCATTAAGTTGTTTCAAATCGAGCGGAAATTACGTGTATCGTCCAGCAAGATTTAATGTGTTTATGCGAGGAGATAGGCATTGCACTGCATATGCCTGCTACGCCCTACCCAGCCATCGTTGGTTCAGTACGAAATCACTTCTCAACGCTTAATGTCTGTTCCAAAGTTTTATGTACATTTATTTATATTTAAGTTTGTTTGGGTTCCTTTCTTTACATTTACTCAATATTATCCTCTTTGTCATTTGAAGTTTTTGTTATTCTGTCGATTTAAAGTTTTCAATTTAGACAGTCTAGTTCATTCTTGTTAAATAAAAGATTAATATGTTAACAGAATTCTGTAGTGTAACATTCATTGAGTAACTGATTGATGAGATTATTGAATTTTTAACCACAACCGAAAGAGTGCTTTTGTAAATCAAACCATTCTAACCTACTTACCTACCTACCTGCCTGTCTGCCTGCCTGCCGACGGACCGACGGACCGACCGACCTACCTACCTTCCTACCTACCTACCTACTACTGCTACTGCAAACTGCATGCACCTTCTAACAATTTTGTTGAGTACGAACAAACAAATCTATTTCCAAGCAGAAGCAGAAGCATAGAATTTTGGTAGGATTAGTAGCCAATAAATGTTGTAAATAATTTCTGAAGAATAGCTAAAACTTATAGCTAAAACATGCAAACTGCATGCACCTTCTAACAATTTTGTTGAGTACGAACAAACAAATCTATTTCCAAGCAGAAGCAGAAGCATAGAATTTTGGTAGGATTAGTAGCCAATAAATGTTGTAAATAATTTCTGAAGAATAGCTAAAACTTATCCAAGCAATTGCTTCGATTTTATTCCAAAAGATAATATGGACGAATATATTTGAAGACCTGCAAAGAAATTGATAGATGACATTACTGAATGGACTGGTGTCGGTATTCTGAATTTAATAACACTGCCTAAGGATAGAAAAGGTTTTTGGAAAGAAAAAAGAAAAGAAATGTAGAAAGCATACCATCGGCCTCGACGGTCCCCTGATGGACAAAGGAAGATCATTGATTGATTGATTAAACTATGAAGTTTGATATATTGTATTTTATTTGTTCTTCCAAATCTGACGACGTTTCTTTTTTTAAACGGCACAAATAAATTTGAGGCTCATTTTAATATTTATAAACGTAGACTGATAGTGAAAAACAAAATGATCTCAATAATTGCTATTTAGATGTTTTAAAACTTGAACGTGAAAAAACACAAATCTGCATCGACACAGAAGCTAGATTTGTTGAATTATTTTATCACAGATTATTTCGTATCGTATCGACTAATTCATAATAGCCGAATAATTTCTTAAGTTTCAGGACAAATTAATATGTAGGAAGCCGGTCTTCCGGCCATAAATTTTATATGTCCAATTGATTTCTAATAAAACAGCGATGCGTGGAGCATTCATTCTTTATCGCAAGTAAGCCTAATTATTAATTACACAATAAAAATTCAGCTGGTAACGCACTAGATGGATATTAAAGTTTATTATCATACGAAATTGATTTTCCACTTGGATAACATTTTTGTTGAATGACTCGTCCATCAGCACAAAACAACGAAATTAATCTGATGGATTTATTTGATTTCTTCATTCAATTTTAAGATTTTAGTATTATTTAACAGCTTCTTGTTGGTTCATAGTTAAGTTTTATTTTGCAGATTTTCGATGCAGTTTTGTGCTGTTCTAGTTTAATTGTGATTTTTTACTTCATTTTTTCGCAATCGTGTGTTTTATAATTTTATTTCGAAGTAATATACGAAAGTTACAAACGTTAGGAGTTCAATATTCAAATGCGTTTGTTTAATAAGGTATCATAAATCTTTCCTAGCTTTTGATTCCATTTATGGAGAAGGTTTTTATGTAAGAATCGGGTCCAGTAACAAAACAGTGTAATTTTTGTTCTCAATTTTTTAAACAGTTGATATTGCTAAAGAGATCATTGTTGAAAAAGTTAAATAGTCAAAATCCTGTTTCAAAACACGGGCTAGAAGTGGCACCAAGACTAGCTAAACTACGGTACTTGAACTTAACTTTGACCTGGAGGCATTTGCGTCATACTGATAGCTAGATGATATCAAAGCTGTTTTTGCTTACAGTAAAACTTATAATGACAAAAATAGGATGAGAAAAAAATTGTTTTTACCTGGAAAATGGCTTTGAAATGTTTCAAATGGTTTTGATGAAGAAAGATCAACAGTGGAAGAGTTGAAGTCCGCCAAAAAATTGTCACAAACAATCTTTTTCATAATATTGTAATAAAATGCCACTATCTAGAACAATTATCGGCTGTTGCACTACTATATACGCAGCATTTACACTGAATGATACGCAGTGACACGGTTTCATGGGTGTCAATACAAAAATTAAACGCTTCGGCATTGTGTCGATTAGAATTAACTTAAAAGTTATCGTCGCCATAGCTTTACCTAACCTCGTTCGCTGCTTAGTACGATGTGGAATTGTGATTCGGGTTATTTAAAAAGAGATTTAAAGTTTGAAAGTTGGTTACCTGTTGTTTTATTTTAAATTTAAAACTTTAAGACAAGAAGCATGAAAAAATACGTGTCAGCCAAGTACCAGCACAAGGTTCTTCGAAATTTATACAAAAATTTCGAAAATGGAAGTTTTTGTGATCTAACCATAGTTTGCAAAGACGCTTCCTTCAAAGTGCACAAACTTGTTTTGGCATCTAGCTGCGATTTTTTTAGCTCAATGTTTCAGTTTAATTTCAATGAAAATAAAAGCAACACAATTGATCTGTCACACTCCAAAGCGAGCATCATCAGAGCTGTGATCAAATTCGTTTACACTGGTTGGTTAGAATTGGAAAGGTTTTGAAATATGTGTTTGTCTACTTTTCTGTTGCACATACTAATTATTTATTGCACAGGGAGTGTGAAATTAACAGAAGACAATGTTCAAGATCTCTTAATAGTGGCTGATCAATATGGTTTGTCTGATTTATTTAAGATCTGTACCAAATTTTTGGAGAAAAATATATATGCTTCTAATGTTATTGGTTAGATCAATTTTTTAAATAAATAATTTTTTATTCAATAGCTTGTTAGCATCATTCTTCCAATTATAGTGTTTCACAAAATAAATGTTGTTAGATTCTGTTATGTATTAATTTATATTTAATTTTACAACTGAAAAAATTCAATTTATTAAAATTAAACAAAAAAATTTTATTACTTTTGTTGTTCTTTAAAAAAAATTCAAAGTAAACCCTTCATGTTCTAGGAATTTGTAACTATATATTAATTAATGATAACAAATGGCTAAAAACCAGTTATATTTTTAATTTTTAGGCATGCACATGTTAGCAGAACAGTTGAATTGTATAAACTTGAAGAATCATTCATTCAAATACATGAAGAACAATTTTAGTGATGTTGTTAAATCTGATGAATTCTTATCTATGCCACTCAATCTCTTCATCAACTATATTTCAGCTCCAGATCTCTCTATATGTACTGAAATTGAGGTTCTTTCTTTTTTTTTAGAAAAACTTTGCCCATAATTTTAAAATTTGTATGTTTTATTGTATTATCCTAAAGTGGTTTTATTTGAAATGATTTTTTTCTTGATGTTCGCATACCTAGGTATTTGAGGCAGGGTTGGCCTGGATATGTCATGACTTGAAAGAGAGAGAATCCAGTGCTGAAGAAGTGATGAAAACAATGAGAATTTCTGTTTTACCATATCCAGTTGTGAACGACAAACTTCAGTTTTGTTCATCAATAATTGTGAAGAATTATTTGGGCAAAGTTATTTCTGAAATGCTGAATGGTGATTATGGCAAATCTATATGCAGATCTAACAGATTAATGATTGAATGTCCCATAAATCGTTTGAGTGCCTCTCCGAGAATTTATTTTATGGAGTTGATCTACTCACCTATCAGATGTAATAGATCATCATCAATGATGTATTACGATGTTAGACGAAATGAAATGAAAACCATTCCTTTAATAAAACAGCAATCAGATGACACAGAGCAGTTGATAGCTGCTGTTGATAGGAGGATATACTTTTTTGGTGGATTCGGTAATTTGAAAACAATTGAAATGCTGGATACGTATGAAAATCAGCACAAAACACTTGGACCATGGCCTCGCAGACGATCTTTTGGTGCTGCATGTTCTGTTGGCAATGAAATCTACCTGATTGGTGGCTTACATGAGACTGACAACTTCCACTCTGATATTGACATCTTCAACACATGGACAAAAAAATGGCGGGTGTTACCATTTCCTAGGGAGTATACCTCTACTCAACACCTAGGGGTCGTTTATTGGAAAGGTTTGGAATTTTGATTTCCATTAGCCTACAACCTTACTTTGTACTTTGAATAGAGCACTGAAAGGATTAAAAATCATTAATTTTAAGAATTAATCAACACATATTTTAGACTTGAAAACTCACAACAAGTGTTTATTGAAATTAAAGGCTTGATCTATATAATTGGTGGAGAAAATGGGGAACAGGAAGCCGTGAGTCAGTGCCTCATCTTCAACCCAATTACAGAAAAGTTTGATGACATGCCTAACTTGCTGACTCCAAGATCTAGGTTTGGAATCAGCTGTTACAAGGATCACATCTACGTTGCTGGTGGGTTTGATCACGACTCGAACATACTCTGCACTATTGAAAGATACTTCATAGAACGGGTCTGTTTTATTTATTTACCAAACAATTCAATGTTGAACTAGGTAATTGTTGCGGATATAAATATTCAACTAAATTGACATTCAATGAAAACATGCTATTGGGAAATTATATTACTTAAATAATTTTTATCACATAAAATAGGGCCATTGGGAAAAAGTAAACTCTCTGAATGTATCAAGATATATGCCAACAATGGTGACAGTCTTAGATAAGTTGTACATTCTTGGTGGAAACACAAGCTTATCTTACTCAAGTTCTGCTATCTTTGAAGTTTATGATCCACAGAAGAATAAATGCTCTAAAATAGAGCCACTCTTACCACTCCTAATGCATCCATGTGCCATTGCCATCTGATATTCTAAATTTAAACTCATCATTATTATAAAAATTTAATTTTGCAATTTAAATTAATCATTTTTTCAGTATTTTTTAGTTTAATTTTTGCTTGTTTTTTTCCTGAACGGTTTTATTTTCTCAGACACTTGCAAGAAGCTAACCACATTCCAATGTTTACTATTTATTACGCATATACTTGTTACAAATCTGGTGATTGTATCAATATTTTATATAACATTATTTGATTAAACGTTCATTTGTTTTTAGAAGTCTTTCATGGTTCGAATTTTGTGTACAAAATAGAAATAATTTCAGACAAACCTTGTTTGTATAAAAAAAACTACTTGTATTACTTGATGATATCACAAGGTTCTTAAACGATGCTGCAACTGCAATTAGAAAGAGGTTTGTGATATCTGAAATTTTATTGCCTTTATTAATAATGCAACAAAAATTGATGATTTGACGTCGGCACCAATCGACGATGTAGAACGTTTTTGTAACAGTGTTTGTTTATGGTTTTTGTAGAAATTTTGTTAGTGATTAATAAAATTTTATCAATTTTTATGAAACTTAGTCACTGATTTGAAATATCGTCTTGAAAAGGTTACTATGAGCAATATCCTACAACCTACATGGCACTCACGCTTGCTAAGTTTCATCTCAAACTCCTGACACTGATTGCATGCGGCTCATTGCATACTTTATATTTCGGCTCAATTTCAATTCACTTTGTTAATTCCAAATAAAAAAAAATTCACAATTAATGATGTTTGATTTATAAATTATTTCAATAAAAAACGACCGTCATTTATTTATATAACGATTAAAAAAACCATTTATTTGTCGGTGAGCAATTATATAAACTTCTATCACATCATTAAATAAACAGTTGATAAAAATGTATAAAAGTGGCAAAGAAATAGCAAAATAAATGGAAAAGAGTAATACTGAGGAAGGAATACTGACTCAGGAATCATAAATACACATTAAAGTGAACAAATCAGACGCTGATCGGACCAGTGCTATGGAATTTCAGCATTGGTTGTCTGCTACTGCCATCTGCTTGCTTGGTTAGTAGAATATTTGTTCATATAAATAATGGTTAAAATTCAAATGAATTACATAAGTATGTGTACTGTTGTATGTCATTCAAAATGTTTACATGTGGCTCCAGAAATCCACATTCCATAAATTACAACAATAAGAAACAAAATAGAGTGAAAATTAAGTGTGCCACCTCAACTTCAGCATCGTCTTCAAGAAGTTCAACCTCCCAATGTGGATCTTCTGTCTGCACAGCTTCAAAGTTGTACAGCGGCATCAAATGATTTCTTAACCTTTTCAGTTTGCTAATTAAACGTTTTTAGTAGTCTGATTATACATTTCATTTATTTATTTATTCTAAAAAAAATATTGTAGCAAAAATGTATGTATGAAAAAAAAATGAAACAAAAAGTTAAGCAACAAAATTCGCAATGAATAAACTAAATTGAAAATTAGACAACGCATATTTCTTAATTAAAGCAATTTACAAAATTCATTTCTAAATATGAATAAACTAGTTAATAATAGAATATGATAACTTTTGTTTAATTAGCATGCATTTACTAACGAATTTCTTTTGACACAGTACAGCACCTAGTGCCACACATTAAGAATTAGTTTATAAAAAATTATGTAAAACTGTTACTATTCATAATTTATTTGTATCTGGTGTTTGCATTATGATCATTCAAGAGAGTCAAACCACAAAAAATACATTTATTAGTGATTTAAAAACTTGAAATTTATATCATTGCTTTCCCTATACAAGACACCAACTTATTCTTATTCTGTTAAATCATTAAATTTCAAATTATAATGCTCCAAAAATGCTGCCTTGATTAATCTAATATTATGATGGGTAAACTTTTAAAAAAATTATAGATCTTGGTATTTATCTGGTGTGATAGCAAAACTTTTTTGTTTAGTTTAGCTTTAGTTTAGTTAGCTTCAGTCAGCTAGTTGCTAGTCTTTTAAATTCTAGTTATCACTAGTGTAGTCACTAGTAGCTAGTTTGAATTAAAATAAAATGCACCCATGACTCTAGTCTAGGTATTATTACTGCATAGTAGATATGCAAGCTTATTTTAATGACATGACTTTAGCATCACAATTTAGTTCAATTCAACCGATTTTAAAATAAAAAATTGAATATAAATTATAAAAATATTAAATTAAAATTAGAATTATTATAAATAATCAAATACCATCAGCGAGAAAGCAGCAAGTGACACAACTATCCCAGCCACAATGAAGTAGTAGATGGACTGATTCGATGATGATGGACTTGTTGGTAAAAAAGTGGATTGGGGTGGGCCATCATTGTCCACTGCACCAGCACTATTGGACGGATGATCTGTGAAGTTGACAGTGAAATTATAACCAACAAATGTCAGTGGGTCGTACGTGTAATTAGCGTGAAACGACTCCGTTGAATTAATTGAAGGCATCATTATTCCCTTCTTTTTTTTAAAAAACGATCAACACTCCATTTGAACGACTGGTCAAACAAAACAATGGACGAAACATACAGATGACGAGGTAAAAACGGGTCGGGCTATTTGACTTGCTTGAATTGTTGGCTTATTGGCTTACTTAATTATTTAATTGTATAAAATAGAATTACTTATTAATAAATTATTTTTGTTAATTTGAATATAAAAATTGCTTTTTGTCTGGTGGAATCATGGATATATCCATGGTTTCTATCATATACTTATAGCAGAATTTTATAATACTTTTCGATTATTGCATTGTCCATCGCTCGCACTCTTGCAGCATCACATTTAATAAACGGCGCGCCATTCAACTGAAATACGTTTAAAAAAGAAGTTTATTATCCTATTAATAATTAAGTTAACTGAAGTTTATTCACCCGCAAAATGGTTTTACTCAAAAATATTTTAATTCTTCTGTGTATCATTCTAGCACAGAATGCAAATTGTTGGTTTTTCTCCGGCAAAACTGACGGTAAACTTTCCCAGTCACAAATTGCTTCCCATGAAGTTGCAGATGGGAGTGGACAGCCACTGCAGAATGCACAGCAGCAAGTTTTTCGACAGGTACCCTTCGAAATCAAACTTGTCGACGATCGTTTGTTGAAAGAAATATCTGCTGTCGACGAAATGAGCCTACTTGATAGCTGCTATCATAGGGTTCTATTTTATTTTTATGACTTTTATTTTTATAATAATAATACAGTTGAATGTAAATTTGTAATACCTACCTACATCCTACTGTCTATTTTACCTACAATCAATTTTATACTTGAAATATTCTGACTAACAATTCAATTGAAATAACTAAATAAATAAAATCAAATAAGATTAATTAACACAACTATAACAATGGCAAAATCCAATGACAACATAACATCACAAAGTATTTAAATATAAAATAAAAGTAGTTGTAGGTAAGACATAGGTAAGATGTATTAATTTGTTCTATTGGATGGACAGGTCATGGCAGAACTTCAAGGTTCATGTGGGTTGATGAATGAAGAAGAAATTTCCAAGCTGTCTGTTCAACTGCTCAACTGTCAATCATCTGTGGAGGGCCGTCAAACCTTCCTCTGCACCTCTGATATGGTTAAAACAATTTACTTTTTTAACTAAATGTGTTATGCGCGCTCCAATTAACATAGACCAGAGGTGGGCAAACTACAACCTGCGAAGCTAATTTATGCAGCCTGCCTTGTTTGCAGAAAAAGGTTTTTAGCCATACATTATGACCAAAAAAAGGAGCCACAAATCTTTAAAAAATTCTCTCCCAGGTTGAAAAAATTAGCTATTTAAGTACATATGCGGCCTTTCAATAGTAAATTAGTTCTCAATGCAGCCCTAAGAGCAAAAAGTTAAAAGAAAAAATTACGTCAATTTTCTTTTACATTTGGGATAAAAATAAATATATAAATTAAATAGTAAAATGTTTTCTGTTCTCTACGCAGTCAATAGGAGAATGTACAAAAGAAATGGACTCAACACTGTGGAACTCCTATCAGATTGTTTCCAACAGAGCTCGAGCTGTTTGCTACCAGATCAGACAGCAACAATTTCGATTCAAAACTGAGCTGACTGTCAATAAATTGGTGCAAACTTCTGAGGAACAACTGAGAAATATGAGAGAGATGGAGGTTATTGGTGAGAGGACAATGAATGTGAGGGAGTTATGAATGATAATGTTAACAATATAGAATAATTGACAAACTGAAAAAATATGCTTGAAATGATAATTTAATTATTTTTATATCTTGAATGTATTTTCAATATCCATCCAGTCAAGCCAGGAAGTGTTGAGGAACATGACAGAAGATGCTATGAAGAATGTGATGGTGGGACAGGAGAGGTTGCTGAACCAGCAGGATGAAATTAGCACTACTCAGATGAAAATTGAAAGCCAGATTGAAACAAATTTGAAACAACTTGAATTGGAGAAAATTATTATTACAAGTGAAAATGAGAAAATTATGAAAATGACTGAACAGATTCATGACAAATTAGGTTATTGCTTTTAATTAAATTAAAATTATTACTATTTCATTATAATTATTATTATTTAATATATTAAGTCGAGTGAAAGTAAAAGTTGTGATCTACTTCAGATGACACGAACAGTTGGCTGTCCAAGCAGGCAGATGCACAGTCACAGATGTACAATGAGCTCATGCATGATGTCAATCAAATATTTACTGAGACACAGAGTGTATGTGCTTCTTTTCTTTACACAGTTTTACCAATTTATTCAATTTTTTAATTATTCACTTTGAAGACATTTGATTATTAATAAAAATTAATTCTATATAATTATTTGACATTTTGAACAGTTTGAGTTTGAAATTAAAACAAGTTGATTTGCGTTTTATTAAATTTTCTTTTTACATATTTACAAATAGTAGATAACTGCTGTTCAAAGTCTATTTTATTTTTTCCGTAATGCCAATGTTCTCTCAACGATGTGGAAGAGTTTACAATTCCATAACATTTCAATTATTATTATACAGTAGATGATTGTTTTATAATACAGGTGTTCAAAGTGTTGGATGAAGGAAGGTCCCAGCTGAACATGTTGAAAGATGAAACAACTGAACACCTGGATGATGTTGTGCAGAACTTAAAACTCATTAATGGCTCCATCAACTATGTTGTTCGCATGATTGAAAGCGCAAAACTTGTTGTTTTTGAACATTTGCAGACAATTGAAGTTTATTTGAAGTTGGCTGGTTGGTTTAGCACATTTAAGCATTTAAAAATTTTCCCCGCCATAACTGCTATTGCAAAAAAATAATCCACACTGAAAATTATGTAGTGCATTTTTTTCGAAACTTACAACATGTTCAAAATTTGACATGCGACATGTGCACATTTGAATGTGTGTTAAAGAATCATAAGCGTTACTCTTTCAATTTGAGCCCATCCCCTCTATAACGATTTAACAACACCTACGCCATTTCTTCTGTTGTACAATTTGATACAAATTTCATACCTAGTTTATTTTACAGTCCACAAATAAGAAAACAGTGTTGAATGACTAATTGCACAGGAAAAGACTTGGACTTCTTGTCAACATTTGCCTTTCACGTGATTTACTTCTTTCTGGTGCTGTTCGCGCTGACCTTCTTTCATTTGCATCCATTCTTTAAAGTCCTCCTCCTCCTCCTCGTCCTTGCAAATGTCGCTAGTCTGGCCTACTTGGAAGTGTGTCTCAGTTTCGCCAACCTCACTTATGTGCTTGTTTTCCTAATTTTATGTTAGTCCTATTTTTAATTTTCATACATTTTCAACTCAACTATTAACTCACAACGATATATTGATGTATTTGAGAACTGTTTTTTTTTTATAGCTGAATATTTTTATCTTTTCTTTAAATAAATTTTCGTTTGTTTTTTTCGTGAATTAAAAAATTTTTCATCAACGATCGTTTATTTTTAAATTTCAATATAACCAATTAATTTGTTTTCCTTCTCTAAAAGATTTCTCATTAAATTTTTTGATATCACTCAAATGTATCAGTCCACTACCTCATGGTGGACAAGTGCAGCAGCAAAGTTGAGAGGGAGTCCGCCAAACAATCACAGGGCTTCAACTCCACTTTGGCACTACCCAACAACGACATTGCAAGGTAATCACAAATAAGGGTGATTATTTATTTCGGGTTATTCCCAATCAATCGTATCAAAAAAATGATATTATTTACTGAAATGATTAATTCTCAACTAAGGAAAATCACAGGATCAGGATTGTCTCTCCCGGAAATCCAGAAGGTTATCCAGGTCTTGGAGAAGCTCAAATGTGAACGTGAGATCGTATTTAATCCTGTTTCATCCACTATTTAGTTTATTATGTATTATACGAAGTTAACCGACATTCATGTATAACTTCTATTTAATTAATAAGAGGTTAGGTTTCCTTCTTGGTGTTGTTGATCAACTATGACTTTGATTATTAACATTTTTGGTGGATATTATTAGTTGTGCAAGAAAAACATGTAAACTTATAAACCTTAATAATTAGGTAACAATGCAGAAGAGATTGAAATGAATTCTTCGCCGAAATGCGGTTCATCTGTTAACAGTTCATCCAGTAATCATGAAGCTTTTTTCAACGATGATGTGCAAATTTCCTCTGACCCCTTCTCCCAGGAAGTCATCTTAGGTGGCAGTTTCCTTCCGATGAACCCGCCTCCCACTCCTAATCATTTTCCTAATTTACCATTGGAGGACTGCAAGGTTGATCGTAACCTTCGAACTGTTAGACTTTTTCTTTACTTTAACTTTTGTGATATTTGTTAAGAAAATAAGATTACTTTTTTGTAAAATTTTAATTTTCGTGTTGCTTAAGATTGAAAACATTTATTATTTTTTTAAAAGTCATATTTTTCATATATATATATATGCGCACTTGACCGTACCTGATACCCAACACCGCAAAATCTAAAGCCTCCAGTGTTGGTGACCCATATTTGCTGTTATAATGAATGTTCCATGTTTCAATTTGAAGCCGCTGACAGCCAGGAGACATTTGATGATGTCATTCGAACATCTGACCCCGACCAGGCGAACAAGCAGGTCAAGTTCTCCCGCCAGAATGTCGACACCCAGGCATAAGAGTCCATCCAGGTAATGTTCCACTTTTGTGGTTTTGTACTTTTAAGAAGCGCCTCAACTTCAAAAATTGCTCAAATGCAAATTTATCAGTTAACACAACATTTTAAATTTTACTTTAAATTTCTTCTACACTATGAATCAAATTATAATTAATTCGTGTTCATAGAATTTTCGAGAATAAAAATAAGGTTTCATTTATATAGCGTTTTCTCTGTGTAGATTATGCAGCGCGCCGAATAAGTTTAGCACAATATAGTTTTCATAATAAATCATAATGATGATAATATTAATTATGACGCAATTGAAATAATAAATTGTTGAATAATATACGGGCTACAGAGATAGCACCTTCAATCGATCGTTGAGACCCCAGTGTACCGCCAGCACGAAGTCAGGTACGACGTGCAAACTTCCCTGCCAAGATGGCTCCTTCTACTGCCACGTGCATCTCAACAGTCCTGCTCTCGACAGCTTTTAAAACAAATACCACACTTAGATATCTCCAAACACTTTGTACATAATAGTTATTGTTAGATAACATGGTTTTTAATCGTTAAACTAAGTGCAATACGTATATTCATAACTTTATTTATAATTTGTCAAATGATCGTGTTTTATGGTTTTATTTGATATCTTTGTATTCACGTCTAACTTTATGTTTTGTAGTTTTACGAATTTTTCGAGAGATTTACTGTTTGAATCTGATTAATATTTCAATATTATGTGAATAATTTAGTACAATCTGAATATTTTTTTAAAATTTATGGTCTGTAGGAAATGAATTTTCGGTTCGCTGATAAGTTAAATTTCGTCAATTGGTTTTTCAACTTATGATCTTTTGATCTACTATGGAATTTTTTGCGGTTCCGATTTGGATGGAGGCAGATGAACAGTGAAAAACATTTTAAAATGAATATTTGGTCAAACAGTTTCGAATTATTAGCTCCACCTTTTAGCTACAGCTACCCCATCATCACAGCGTTTTCCAGCACCAAGGAGCGATTTCTTTCACGAAATTTGAAATGTACTGGTGCATAAATTTTAAATAATGGTTCATTAAAGTTTAATTTAAAAAATGTTAAGTGATCCAATAAATATTTATAACTTATGAAATTTTTTGGTCAGTCGGCGGACGTATGGCATCGTTCTTTTCAACACATTTCTTATAACTTTTTTTATTAACTAATTTGTAGATGATAATGATAGGTAACAAATAACAACTGACAACTTTGTGGTAATAATTTTTTTTATGTCATTTGATTTGCTTTAACTAATGTCAGAATGTGATATACTTAACTAATGTCAGAATGTGATATACATACATGGAACATGAACTATAACAACGTGACGAGATAAGAAAGATGGGGAATATTGAAAATTAAGAAGCGCAAACAATTCGAAAAGACAAATAACACACTGCAATTTTATCACGATAAATTCATTACAACTTAACATAATACATTATACAAATATACATATATAATGTGTGTGTGTGTGTGTGCGTGCTATATTTACACATAGTTCTTATTTTTCGTTACCTGTTTGCGTGCTAACAATCGCTTCGCACATGTTAAGATAGCATTAATACACATTGAAAAAAATATTTACGAGGTTTAAATAATTTATAATAATAAATTGTGAAAACAGGGTACAAAATTAAAAAATTATAAAAGGAAATATGATAATTTTTTAACTACTAATTAACTGTTTTTTAATGGGCAACGTTAAACAGAGTAAAGTAAAAACGTTTGTTATCATACATTACATATATACAAATTGCATTATTCAGTTTCGACATTTACAAGTCACAAATAGAAGAATATGACCGATAAAAAAAGCACTAGGATGATAGCTGGAACTTGGGTTTGCGTGTTTTTACCTGACGATCTTTTCTCATGAGGGCGGGACTGTTCAACGCCTGTTTGCAAATGTTCAATTTAAAATCATGAATATTAATTTATTGATTTAATATTTTAATAACTATTCATTTTGTGTAGATTGAAATTTCATCTCAGGTTATATAAATACATCCTTTAGATTTTTGGTAGCATGGAGCAGAGATTTACTACAACCAGAGCGTGTCAAAAAAGGCAATTGTGGTGTCGACGACACTGACGATCGTGATAATGATGATAACAATTAAGATGATGATAAAAATGATGATAACAATTACGATGATGGTAATGAAGATGATGATAAGGATGAGCAGCAAGATAGTGATGATACTCACTGTTAAATGTTTCTTCATTTTCTTCTCTGTAGCGCTCTGGCAAGGGCACCACCATCTTAGGACATCTGTGCTGTAGGTTCATCTGCTCGTGCACTCCTTCGTTTCGTCACGCAAAATTTTTAATGATTAAAAAAATTAATATGCTGTAAATAAGATAATATTATTGTAAACGGTATTAATTATAAACAAAAAAAACTATTTAAAAATATAAGCTACATGCTACGACGGTCAATAGAAAATCAATATAAAAAAAAACATCAATAACATAGATAACATAACACGAGGAGCATCGCCAATTGTATCATAACAACTTCCACGAAGCCATCATTCCCTACAACAGAAACAACAACATCAACAACAGCCCCAGCATATGCTGTTTCTATGCTGCAATGACCATGTTAAAATGCAAAGAAGTCCTTGCTTATTAAACAACACAAAAAAGTAATGCACAATTCAGGTTACAATCTCTGCCTAACGCGATCAGAGTGACCAAAAACATCAAAATTAGTACCACCAACAGCGTCTTTTTAAACAACAGCAACAACCACTCAAACCACACGACAGCATCTTGATAGTAGAGTGTCAGAGTTCGGTGTCGGGAGTCGGAAATATTTACCCGGAATGGGAATTTTGAGGGGCCGGAAACGAACCCTGACACTCTGCTTAGGAAATATCAATACCGATAGGATATAGCATAGTGGTGTGGTTAACTTCGCTCAGATCTCGCAGAAGTTTATCGTTGGCCAGGAGGGTGTTGTCACTGAGGCAGTAGACCTCCTCCTTGTACACGTGCACGAAGAATACGTACGCCTCCCCTTCCGCCACTCTTCCCAAGAAACATCTTCCCCCAACCCATCCTGGTGATAATGATGAAGATGATGATGGTGGAGGTGATGATGATAATGACGATGATGATGGTGATGAAGATGACGAAGATAATGGTGATGACGATGATGAAGATGATGATGGTGATGAAGATGATGATGGTGATGAAGATGACGATGATGAAGAAGATGATGGAGATGGTGATGATGAAGATGACATTACTGACAATAGAAAAGATGTTGGTGGCGATTGAAACAAATGTGATTGCAGTCCGTTATTTTTTTAAACTTTCTTAAAATTATCTTACAAAATTTAGCTTGTAACACCAAAGCATTTAAATTTTAAAAAAATTTCTCCAATGAAATGAATGAACATACAGCTGGATAACATGTAATTGATAGTGATTAAAAAAACAACAAACAAATAAATAAAATAATATCTTAATGAGGAATTTTGAGAGGAATTTCAAATATTTAAATCGTAAGATGTGACTTGTCAACAAAACTCGGATAAGAGTAGAAACTGTTAAACATTGTTCAACAAGTTCAGCAATGTATCGCGTTACGTTTAAATGCTTTGCACGTACGCTGTTAGGATTAGTCTACTTACCTACCTAACCTACCTACACACACAAAAATGCATTGACAAACTTTCCCGTGCTAGCAAACTCATCAACAAATTGATTTATTACATTTAAACAGGGGTCCTCATTTACAAAATGCACACCGAAGAACGCGTTACGCACGGCACACAATACAAAATCCTGAAACTTATTATCACTGATAGATTTATTTAATTCTCTTTATTGCCATGTGAATGATTTATTTATAACAGTTTATAGTGATGGGGATGATGACCGGATGATGATAATCATCAACAGTGATGACAAAGTTGAGGATAACTTAATAATAAATAAAAAATTTACTGATGATGATGACGATGGTGAAGGTAAATGAAAAAAAAAACCAAAACCCGTATCATCGCTGGCAATAAAAAACACACTAACTTGTTGACGTACCTTACCTTATCTCGTCTGTAACATAGCTAGCTAACTATGTATATAGGTATGTGTATAGTGTATCCAAACACACACTCACTCACTCACACATACACACACACCACACACACAAACACAATAGAGGAATGTATGTATTGTGTGTTATATTTGTATGCATGTTTACGTATTTATATTTTTAAATCATTTTTTTCACTTTTTGGTTAAACATTACCATCCCTATCTTTTAAAATTTTATCATGTACACTATAATTATTAAATATTAGATTCATTATTTTTAATGATTTTGATAACCGTCTTTTGTACTTTTGTATGAATGAATGCATTTATTCTTAGTGATAAATTATCCATGATAAAAGTTCAGCAGTACTGATAATTATGATTAATACAACAGCTAATGCTTACTTTGATGTATTCAAAAATAAAAAAGCGTTTGAAGTAAAAAATAACTTTGAAAAATTAGCTTTTAGACAGTATTCAAATTCTGATGCATACATAAATTTTTCTATCACATCATACAAGCTTTCTACAAGCTAATTCATCCTCATTTATTATCATTAACATCATCACCATAACTCTTCTCATCAGAGTTGTCGCCATCATCATCATTATTATTATCATCTTCATCATCTCCAGCATCACCAAGGTTAGCACTTTCAGCATCATCATCGTTATCATCTACATCAGCAGCCCATAAGTGTGTCATCGCATGGCATCATCATCCTCATCACTTAGTCGAAAGTAGAAGAAATCATTCTGTCAGTGAGCAAATAATTTTTGTCTTAGTTTTAATTATTTGTTCCATTCCATTTCATCATTATTTCTAAGATTTATGTGTGCTTGGAGTTTTTCACGAACAAAGTATAAACTTGTTTGTACTGGTTACCTTTTTGTTCTTTTTTCACTTTTGTTATTGTATTTAAGTTTAATTTTTGTCTGGATTTTACAAATTTTTTTTAATTTGAAGTGTTTTTGAAATGTATTACAAATTAATTTTTTTAAAAAGTCAATTTTTGAGGAAGCATTATAAGTATATTTTATTCGTCTCAATGAGAGTATGTCTTGTTTGCTTTTGCACGGACTGCCTTGTATTAATAAAAATTCTAGCTGCTACCATGTTTTCATCATTTAGAATAAAATTATTACTAACAAGTGCATATTTGTCAGCGTAATACAAACTGCAGATAAGTTTGTTCGTACATATATTCAATAAATACAAAAACTATGGCCTCAGACTAACATCCAACATCTCAAAATTCATAAGCGCACGGATTTATTAAGTGCCGTTTTGTAGTAGTAAACGAGAAAATGTGTGCTATTGAAAATGATGAAATTGTTGGAGTATGCGGGCATCAATCATTCATCTATAACGTTATTGACGGTGAAAGCCTGGTAATTACATGCGTGAGATATCACGTAACTAAATACTGACTGTCAGTTTTTTTTTGCTAAATATTTCTTTTAAGATGTTTGGAATTCTCAAATACGACAACCTGAAATGTATATTTTTAAAGATTTTTGGTCCAAAAAGATTTTTTTTTAAAAGATGCATGTTAGTATTTAAAATTGTTTAAAACTGTATGGATTCTATCGAATAGTTGGCATTAATCAATTAAAGTTTGTTTTATAACTTTTCTGAAAATTGATCAATTCAATAATTTGGTTAGAATTCATACAATACTGTATAATATAAAATGTGGTCTCCTTCCAACAATTAGTCGAAAGTGAACATAAAACTTCAAAAACAGAAAAACAGAGGTTAATTATAGTCGTAGAAGGTCATAACAGATTAAATATTTAAATAGTTAAAAGCAGTAAAAATTGAGAAATGTTCAACAAAAATATTTGTTGTTAGTTCACATTCATCATTTCACGTTAAATTTTAGAGTTATTCTACTTTTCCGGTGCGAAGTATATGTAACTATTTTGAAATATTCCAAACCAATATTTACAATTACAAATTTCAAAATCGGCAAATAATTTTTACTCTGATTAGTTTTTTTACTTAAAATATTATCGGTAAACTTATTCGAAACATTCCAATATGGAATCAATTTTATTTGAAAAAGTTTAAAGAAATCAAGTTTAAGGACATAGTTTAAATCATGTACAATTGTGCGTTTGAATGTAGACTATTCTTAAATATCAGCCAGATCACTGAGATATACACACACAAACGTACACCCACAAACACACACACACAAACACACACACACACAAACATCGACGCACATAATTTCTGTTCACTATCAAAAGCCAACAACTTAATAACTCCAAATTCATCAAATTTTGAGACAAGAGTCTGGAACAATTGAAATCAATCGAAACTTTTTTTAAATTATTGCCGATTAATTAATATCAGAAGTTAAACTTCAAACACATCATTCATAAGAAACAGGAGTGCGTGCTATTTTGAAGGAATCTCTATTGTATCTATCTATGTTTCTATCTATCTATCTTTCTATATATCTCTATTTATCTATCTATATATCCATATCTATCTTTATATCTATCTCTAGTCCTCGTTCCGAGAAAAAATGACAAAAATGGTAATTCTACAGAAAATCTTGTCACTATCGTTTTTAATTAGCTAATTTTATACTGTATAAAATTTTGAACATAGGTATATTGATTGTTGGGTTTGAGCCCATTATTTCATTCTACACTATGTAATTAATACCTTTTACATGTTTTATTATAATATGTGAAAATTGAAAGAATGAAATATATAGTGATTAAATACAAAAGCAAAATAAAAAAAGAGATAGTTGGAGTTTGTTTGTAGAAAGTTTTGTTTTATTTTGCAGGTCATAAAAAGCCAACAGCAATCGGTGTACGTTTGAAAATCCAACTACGTCCAAGAACAAATCTCTGTTACAATTATTTTTGCCAAGCGTTCATTTTAATGTATAAATACTTTAAGAAAAACTTGAACACAAAAAATTTAAAAAAATTGATTACCTATGCATACAAACAATCGCGCAAATAATGACACATGATTTCACATAAAGTTTATAACTGTAACAAGTCTCGTACATTTAAGGGATGAGCTAACTTAAGAACCACACAACAACTCATATTTTTATTTTATTTTTTTAAATTTAAGTTAATAATATCACATAACAATACACTAGCTTTATGTATGTATTGCATGTATGTATTTATGTATATACTCGCCAAAGTATGTGTGTTTGTATGCATGCGTAATTCTGCGTATGTGTAATGCAGACACATGTTTCTGTAAATATTTACAAATGTGTGTGTCTGTAGCAAATATAAACAGTAAGTCTGTTGTTTTATTGGCAGGCATTCCAGATAATGATGGAATTATTCAGGATCAGACGTTCGTCATCAGCTGAGTCGTAAATTCTCGGCTTGGCAGAATGCGTTTGTTGTTGCTGTTGAATGGTGTTGTCATTGATATGTTTCGATCTACGTCTGTGTCTGTGTTTGTATGTGTGTGGGTGCGCGTGAGTGCATATGTGCGTGTGTTGCTAGTTTTCCCTATGTTTAACTCTGTTTTGATTAGATTGGTTGTATTTCTTTATGTGCGTGAGTTGTGCTGGCATCCAGACGCATGGATCTGTTTTTCTATGAAGAATGATGCAAATTTTTATTTGGCATCATCATTCAATCGACTGCACATCTATCTATTGTGCAAATATCAGACTCTTGCAATTCACGCCATGCCATTTAAAATTAAATAAAATTCAAAATAAATCATGAAATTTTTAAAAATTTGGAAGAGAAAGAAATCATAAAAAATCTGTGTAATTTAATGAGAATAACGTGTCGGCAATATTATGACTTGCAGATGATGAAAGTTCGAATTTGGCCACACATCTCGTATATAACGCGTAACTGTATCAAATTTCTTAATGAAGTAAAAACAATCATATGCGTAACAACAATAAATAAATAAAGTTTAATACGGTGAAAATAAAACAATCAGAACCCTCCAAACAAAACCAAAAATAACAAGTGTCATAAATAAATCATTCACAATCATTCACTTCCCCACAAATCATTCACCAAGAGCAGTTTTAATGTAACTTTTTGCAATTCAACCTGTTCAAATGTATTACACGCACATCATCATCTGATTTATATATGTAGTTCTCGTTCATTTTGTCACATCTCATATCTCATATATTTTTATTAAAAAAAACAAATTAGGTGTCTTATTTTAATTCTGTAGCTTAAACTAATTAATTTAAAAATAGGATTAAGTGAAAAAAGGTAATAAAGGATTAAAGGAAGAAAATTAAAATTGAGGGAAAGAAAATGAAAAAAATAGATATGAGAAAAAAGTTAAAGAAGAGAAGGGAGAAATAAAAAGAGAGAGAGAGAGAGAGAGAGAGAAAGAAAGAAAGAGAAAGAGAGACGAATAATAAATGTTGGTTTTTTCCCTCAAGTTAGATTCATACCGCAATCCATAAATAACATCAGACCGCACGTCACAGTTTTCATCATCGTTACATGTAGATTCATTGCATGGCATACATTAAGGCACATTTAAACGATCAATCTCTTACATTACAACTCTAGCGACAGGCTTTTGCTTGCACTTGCACGTATTCCGTAATACACTCATTTCACATACGGACCCCTATAACGCTGTAATAAAATCACCTTTATAAAATTGTCAATAAACCAAAAGTAGAGTTGCATGACTGAATGAATGAACGAATAAACGATTTTGGTCTAAGTAGCTTTGAATCTAACGAGTACACAAACTCAAAATCAATATTCAACAATTATCTAATAACGTATTTCTTTGTATTATTTGATGTAAAATGAGGACAAAGACTATTTTTGATTCGTTGAAAGAAAACTAACTGCACACGCGGTTCAGTAAGTTAGCTGGTGGCTCTTGTTGATTTTATAATATAATAAGACCAGGTTACTAATGGCGTTGAAGGCAGTTTTGTTGACAATACAATGATATTTAATTAAATTAATACTAATTTACGTGTATTGTAACTCCACTATATAAAGAGAATGAAAAGTTTATGCTTATGCATGCAAAACTACTAATTTACTGATGTTTGTAGTGGAGAAAATAAAACCTGTGATAGCAAAGTGACATTATCGTGATAACAATTAGATTGTTTTTGTGCTCTTGGTAGATATGTTATCATTATCAACATTTTTCCATCATTTTTTGAAGATATTTTTTCAGATTTAAATTTAATTTTTTTCACAAGTGTGTTTCTATTTGTCTTTCTGTGGTTTTTGTTTGTTCTATAAACAGTAGCGCACCACCATTCCAACACAACACAACGCAACATCATTTTTTGTGGGTGACACCATTTATCACACCGGCCACATAATGATCTGATGTAGTAATTTCATTGCGCAATTATTTCACTGGAATTTATGTGGCGCTGTATTATTTGGGAGTTGTGATTTTTATTATCTGGAATAATCATTTAAAAAATTTTTTCAAGAGCTTCTATTCATTTGAATAAAAAAAAATTAAAAAAATGAAATACTAATAAAAATTGAGAATCCTAAAAAGCCAACAAATATATTCTGTAATGTTAAACGATGAATTAACAAAAATTCAAAAAGGAAATTAATGAATAATAATAATAATTAATAATAATAATAATAGCAATATTATAATTTTTAGAAAAGAACAAAAACCTGCTCTCGTGATGTTGATGATGGGTAGAACCCTTTTTTCGCCCTTCAAGATGCAGTGGACCTGAGGTGAGAAAAATTTCAAAAAAAAATACAATGATTCAAAAAGCATTTATTCCAACAAGAGAGGTGTGGCCAACCTGTCCCCTGTTCCCGTTCGATACTGAAGAAGATTGCCCCTTTTTTTAATAATCCACACAACTTTCAAGGACATATTACTGACTACTCCGCAGATAAAAGTAATATGCAATTTCAAACACGGATGAACAAAAGTTAAGGAATTTGTCATTAAAACGCGTGTTTTTTTTTGCTTTTCAGAAAAATCAAACCGTGACAAACACGTTGACTAGAGGAACATACAGGACATGAATATAACAACAAAAATATTAAAACGATCAATATGAAGATTAATGTAAAAATAAAATACTCAAAGAATTGTGATTAAAAACAAGAATAATATTAAACTGCATTCGTTCTTATTTCACGCCAATAAAATCAGGCCAAATACAGTTAGCGATGAACCTAACTATGCACCATACATCAATGTTTAAATGTATGAACGTCTGAATGTATGCGGGCATGGGAGCTTGTAACAATTTGAATTTATGCATTAAATGTTTAATGGAAGGTTTAATATTAAGGCTGTCACAGCGACTCGCAATGCATTTCAGTGCATCATCATCATTTATCATGAAAATCATTCTGTTCAATGCTGCTCCATGCTCTCTACGCTCATGTCTCGTTTCATTTTATTTCATGCTGTGTTTTGTGTGTATGCGTATGTTTGCTAGTTGCATGCTAGTTTTTGTACATTTGTATTTGTATGTCTGCTTCTATTTTTTGTTTTTTAAGTTTGTCTGTTAGTATCTTCTTGTTTGTATAAGTAAGACTGTTTTTGCCCGGGTGTAATACACGGGTGATTATATCTGTTTGTTTACAATTGCATGTGCGTAATATGTAAAAGATTTAAGCTTTAAAACGTGCTGCATGTGCATGTGCTGGTATGTTTTGGAGTTTTGTGGGACAATAAAAAAATAGGAATGTGGAAGAAATAGAAAAAAAAATATGAGACAGGAAAAAACAACGCTGATAGAAAATATAAAATAGAAAAGATTAGAACTGTTTGAGAGAAAGATATTCAATCTAAGAAGAACGAGCATACATGAACGGATGAATATACATCTAGATGCATGTTCACATTACATAATCGTTGTTGTGTAATTATTTTAACTCTAATAAATAATTACATACAAATACATTGCTGGTAATATTTTTCACTTATATATATATATACATATATATAATATATATATATTATATATATACATATATATATATAATATATATATATTATATATATACATATATATATATAATATATATATATACATATATATATAATATATATATATACATATATATATGCATCTGTGGGTGTGAGTGTATGTTTGTATGTGCACGCATGTCTGTGTATGTACAATGTACATCTGTGAATGTATGTGTTTATCTGTGTAAGTCTCTCTCTGTATGTACATATGTGTATGTGTGCATCTGTATATCTGTGTGTGTGTTTGTTCTCGTGTGTGTAAATGTGTGTCTATCTATGTCTTAAGTGATTAATGTAAACTTTTAAACGTCAAAAATTGAATCTCCCATAAGTTTGAGACGTATTTAATTAATACATGCATTTTTGTCACCATTATCACTAATGTTTTCGTGTCATCTAGTCGTAACAGTTAATTTATAAATTCGTCATCAGCAATTATTTTTATTATTATTATTATTATTACTACTACTACTACTACTACTACTACTACAATTACTACTACTACTATTACTACTACAACTACTATTACTATTGCTATCTTTAACTTAGCTTGTTAGTTATTTCAAAACTTTCTTATAAATCACATGAACCCACTTACTCATTCATCACCGACGCCGATTTTTTCGTCAAATGAAAGGGCTAATTTAGCAAAATCAACATTGCAATTCGTCACCACCATCATAAACATTTTAAGCTTGATGTTAATACGATTATCACTACCATTACCATTAGGAAATCAACATAGTCTTCATCGTAATCTTTCATTCCGTTATCTTAGCCCCAACATTCGCGGATAAATTCACGCTTCCACAACTCGTATAATTACCAACCTTGACACGAACAAACCATAACGATTAAAATCTATTAATTCTATCACCAATCTATCATTAATGATAATAACGACGATGAAAACACTCTCATCTATCATCATTAATAATAAGGATGATAATAATAACTATTATTATTATTATTACTATTATTATTCTTATTATTATTATCACTCTGATATACAATTAATAATTTTCGATTGATTTCATTTGGATTTTATTTTTTCAGTAAATAAAAGAATGTTCCCATTATTGCTATGTCATTTGATGTGCATGCATTAGTATAATCAACATTATCATCAATATCATCAAATCAAAACACTCGCGTCACTGATGTGGCTTGCACTTACTTGAACTAGGGCGTCATAGGCCATAGAGAAATCGGTGTGGCTGTCTTTGTATTTCTCGAGGACGGTGGCGTAGAAAGCCATGTCAGCTGCCTCCATTGACTCGGCCAGTGTTGGAAGTTTATCGCTCGCGCAGATTTTGTCTTCTGAAAATTTAAAGAAAATATTTTGATTTCTAAGATCGCTAAATAGAAGATTAATTTTTCTCTGGGGTAGATGTTTTGAAAACTCTAGATGTAGGCAATGCAATATTGCTACCGGTTTGGTATTGTTTATTGTTGGAATTTTTTTAATTTTATAATAAGATAGAATGAATAGTTGTAAAAATGAAAACCTAGGTGTACGGTCAATTGCACTTGGGTTTTTATTACTATGTTAATATACAATTCCAAAAAAAATTAACATAAGAGCAGTGAAGATAGGTAATAAACATAAAAATAATTGTGATTCAACAGAAAAAGCAAAACGCAAAGCCTGTTTGCATGTTCGTCATTGTTATATTTGCACCTTCTTTAATTTCCAGATTAACCTCAGCATGTGAGGTTATCATTCAGTATAATCAATGTTAAAACATCACAAAGAGAGAACATAAACGCTGGTAGATAGATAGGTGAGAACAACAACTATTAATTTATGATGGATGGAGTGATCGAAAGATGAAGGAGAAAGTAAAAAATAATGGTATGAATGAATGAATGAATAAATAAATAAAGCATGAATGAATGAATAGATTTGTGGATGGATAGACAAAAGATGAAGAAAGCAATGAAGATTTTTTAAAATTATTGAAGATTAATGGACAAATTTATAAAACAATTCAACGACAAAACAACTCATCAGAAAATAAAAAATTTTTAATTTTAAAACGATTTAAAAAATGAGAAATAAAACAAAAATACGCAGAAAAAGCATGCGAACCATAGAGCGAGCGAACGAACGAATAAGTGAACAGGCAAACATCAATAAATAAACGATAAGAGGAGCAGTATAAATTAAGATGAGTATTAAGATTACCTGCTACAAATTCAGAATAAACCAGCGCTTGCTCTTCAAAATGGAGTTAAGTGTAGCAGGGAGGTAATGTGTAATAATTGAACAAGTAGATAGAAAGTAAAACGTATGTAAGAGGAACAATAAGTTATCCTCTACTGGTAAATTTCTAGGTTAGTGAGCAAAAACTAAATAGATAATATTGAATTTATAATTTTACGAGAAAAAAAATTAGCAGATGAATGTTTTATTAATATTAAACAGAGTGTCTTTATTTACATGTTATTTTTCCATAAATTGTTAACATTGAAAAGTTTAAAACGAAAGGACACTGTTATTTGAAAAATTTTTAGCGTCAGATTTATAAAATTCAATAGAAGAAATAATCATTCGACAAATGTATCCGCTTTCAAATGCTCAGTGCGTCGAAATTACGATACAAGTGCATAGTGAAGAAAGAATTTTTTTTAAGTATTTGGTTAAAAAAAATTATTCAGGCTGGCAAGGGATGCTTCGAAAATAAATAAACATAATTAACATCCAGTAGTGGCCCGTTTGACAGAATGCCTAAAGGAAGGTAAAGTAAAATCGCTAGTGTCTGTCTGTGTGTGTGCTTGTATCCTGTCTGTGTTAGTCTATGCATCTGTGTTTGTTTGTCTGTGTCTCTGTATGAGCGTGAATGTATGTGCGTGTGTGTGCGTGTGTGCGTGTGTGTGTGTGTTTTTGAGTTTGTTCCTGGGATGGTATATATTTATAGTAGTAAAAAGAATTTTCATTTCAGAATAGTTTTCCAAGAAAAAAAATATGGAACGCCACTGAACGGATGATCAAAGAAGGAGATGTAAGAAATTATTAATAAAACAACAACCGTTCTTTGATTCTATAAATGAATGCACGAGCAATAAATAACAATAAAAGTTTATTGAAAGCCGAATTATCATGCACGTAAAAAAGACTATTAATTATCTCCAGACAGAAACATCGGCGATAGTGAAGTATAAATAAGTTAAGAACGCCAACAGAATTCTGAAAATAATAAATGAAAATGAAATAGAAATAAACTGTAGTTATAAAATAGGAAGAATTTTGTTAAATGAACCACCAAATTAAAAACCATAATTTATATAGGCCAACATAAGGTAAGAAACGTAATTATTTGGAGACGGGGCACCGAATCAAAAATCACACGCATCAATGAATGATGAATACGGAGCGAAACTTGGAATGATATAATGTGAAAATGATTATTTTATGGCGGATCACTGATTTCAAAGAGAATGTTGCGTTATGGGTTGTACGTGTAATGTACATATTGAAATATGATATTTCTATTAATAATAATAATTTCATCTTACAGAAAAACTAGCTCTTTTTTCACACAAAAACATGACTCGGAAGAATAACATTTTATAAACAGAATCAAAAAACAATTAGCTCTAACGATAATATTATTATGAACAGTAAAACAAGCAGTTGTAAACGGCATTTTCAAATAAAGGAACTTGTTTGAAATATATTTTTTAACAATGAACATATATTTTTTATCATCATGTTCATCGTCACCATCATCACCTTCACCATCATCATCTTCATCATCATATTCTACATCATCTTCATCATCATCATCATCACCATCACCACCATCCTCTTCATCGTCATCTTCATCACAGTCTTCATCATCATTTTCATCATCGCCACCATCATATTCATCACCATCTTCATCATCATCTTTATCATCATCTTCATCACCATCTTCATCATCATCATCACCATCACCATAATCATCGTCGTCATCATCTTCGCAATCAAACTGACCTATTCTCTGTGGGAGATCGCAAAAGTAGTATGGCTTTTCCTTGGGCTTATCCTCGTCATTATCATAATCACCCTCTCTCAGACCAGAGGCTCCAGTAGTACAAGCTATGGACGACGAGAAGATGACCAAGATGATGGACAGCGTGTTATCCAT